AGATCCATTCCTAACTTTCACCCTACAGAGGAGTGGGCAGCAGAGCAGACAGAAGAGAGAGGTTCAAGGTTTCAGTCATAGGTACCAAACCAACAGCTTGCTTGCTTCCCATCTGTGCTGTTAAGAGTTCATCCTTGTCTCCACCTCCACTGCTCTGTATAAAACACTTGGACACTGGCTTGCCGCACTTTCAGTTATTAACAATATTCTTGCATTTAGAATCAATGGATTGAGGACTTCCCTGGTGGTCCAGTGGTTAGGACTCCGTGCTTCCACTGCAGGGGGCACAGGTTTGATCCCTGGTTGGGGAACTAAGATCCCACATGCCGTGTGGTGTGGCCAAAAAGAAAAAAGAAAAAAGAAAAGCATCAGTGAATTGGTTGGTGGCAATCTCCTCCTTCCGGACCTTGCATTCTCTTCCTTGCATTCCCTGCCTAACTTTCTCCTTTCCTTCATCTTGAGGCAGTCTTCTACTTTGTACATTCTACTTTCCTGAAAATCTGAGAGGTGAATATTAGACTTACATGTTATAAGGTTTTTTTTGATGTGGACCATTGTTTTTAAATTAATTAATTTATTTATTTATGTTTGGCTGCGTTGGGTCTTCGTTGCTGTGCACAGGCTTTCTTTAGCTGTGGCGAGCGGAGGCTACTCTTCATTGCGGTGTGCAGGCTTCTCATTGTGGTGGCTTCTCTTGTTTCAGAGAACGGGCTCTAGGCATGCGGGCTTCAGTAGTTGTGGCACATGGGCTCACTTGTTGTGGCTCACAGGCTCTAGAGCGCGGGCTCAGTAGTTGTGGTGCACGGGCTTAGTTGCTCCGCGGCATGTGGGATCTTCCTGGACCAGAGCTCGAACCCATGTCCCCTGCATTGGCAGGCGGATTCTTAACCAGTGAGCCACTAGGGAAGTCTGATGTGGACCATTTTTAAAGTCTTTATTGAATTTGTTACAATATTGCTCCTGTTTTATGCTTCGGTTTTTTGGCCGTGAGGCATGTGGGATCCTAGCTCCCCGACCAGGGATCGAACCCACACCCCTGCACTGGAAAGTGAAGTCTTAACCACTGGACCACCAAGGAAGTCCCTATAAGGTATTTCTATTCCCTAGAGAGACAAGAAAATATTTTTTAAATGTTTGATTATATTTCCTAGTCCTAAACCTGAAATTGCCCAGTTCTACATCTTTAAAACAGCTTGCAAGAGTGTACTAGGGGAACTTCCCTGGTGGTCCAGTGGCTAAGACTCCACGCTGCCAATGCAGGGGGCCTGGGTTCGATCTCTGGCTGGGGAAATGTATCCCACATGCTGCAAGAGTTCACATGCTAGTTCGCATGCCACAACTAGAGATCCTGCACACAGCAACGAAGATCCCATGTGCCGCAGCTAAGACCTGGCACAGCCAAATAAATAAATATTAAAAAAAAAAAAAAGACGGACTTCCCTGGTGGTGCAGTGGTTAAGAATCCGCCTGCCAATACAGGGGACACAGGTTTGAGCCCTGGTCCAGGACGTTCCCACATGCCACAAGGCAACTAAGCCCGTGCACCATAACTCCTGAGACTGCACTCTAGAACCCCTGCTCTGCAGCAAGAGAAGCCACCGCAATGAGAAGTCCGAGCACCGCAATGAAGGTAGTCCCCCACTCGCTGCAACTAGAGAACGCCTGCGCGCAGCAGTGAAGACCCAACACAGCCAAAAAAAAAAAAAAAGAATGTACTAGGTACCTGACTTCACAAGGATGGAAGTTCCCATTTGATAGTTCTAAATTATTATGTGGCTCTGTCCCCTGCCTCTCAGAGGAACCAAGGACTGGGAGGATGGTGGGGTGAGTCCAAACAAGATATGCCTCCTTTACACAGTAGCAGGCAAGCTCCAGGCCTCATGGCTATCGTGCTCCTTGAGGTCTTGGGAATGGGTAAATACATCTGGTATCCTGCTTGGGTCAGCATCCATACAGACACAAATATCCATCCAAAATAAACGTGCTTTCCTCCTAGGCTTTTCCCCCAGCAAATAATGGTTGGCAAGTCTTCCACTCTGCATTACCTTGAAATCGTCATTTGTCATTGAATGCCAAATATTACTTCTGTAAGATAGCCAGGAGCCTAGATTTTGTTGCCTTTACTTCCATACCTCTTGCTCTTCAACCTGCTATAACGTTCCTTCCATTCTTCTGAAACTTTCCTGCAAAGATCATCTGTAACCTCTTAACTGCAGAATATAGGTGAGGTTGTTTGATCTTTTGGTTTTTTTGACAAAAAATGCATTTGTTTATTTGAAATTTAAATTTCACTGGTTTTCCTATATTTTTTCTGGCTGCCATGCCAGGAGCATCCTATTTTACAATGAAATCATGTCTAAAAGGAAGACAATCAGCAGCAGCCTAAGTTTCATGATGAAGTATTTAAAACCACTACGACATGCATTGTTGAAAGAAGAACACAAACAAAAACTTATTTAAAAAAACATAGGCTATACTAAAGTAGAAAACAAAATCCAAAGGGAAAGATAAGTCATCACTCAAAGATCGTTTTTTTTTTTCTTGCGGTACGCGGGCCTCTCACTGTTGTGGCCTCTCCCATTGCGGAGCACAGGCTCCAGATGCACAGGCTCAGCGGCCACGGCTCACGGGCCTAGCCGCTCCGCGGCATGTGGGATCTTCCCAGACCAGGGCACGAACCTGTGTCCCCTGCAACGGCAGGTGGACTCTCAACCACTGCGCCACCAGGGAAGCCCTCAAAGATCCTTTTAATACACGTGGATGGAACCCCATTGGGTTCCAGTATCCTCCTAGGTTCTCCACATGTCATCCATCCTTTGTATCACGGAGGTGACAAATCATCCTGAATTCCCTTCTTGGAGCAGAAGGGACTTGGACCTGCGTGCGGGGTCCTGGGAAAGTCATTTGGAATGTGTTTTCTGGTGGCATTTGAAAGTCCCCAGCTGACGGAAGGCACTGTGACACTCGGGACACAAGTAGGGTTTGAGCACAAAGTGAGTGTGTCAGTGAATGTTGAGGTTCCCGCTGTGGCTAAAGACTTTGTCACAGTGCCCACATCGGAAAGGCTTCTCCTTGGTGTGGATCCTCTTGTGAGCGTGCAGCATGGAGTCGTGGGTGAACTTCTTGGGGCAGAGATCACAGCAGTATGGCTTCTCTCCTGTGTGGATTCGCTGGTGAACCTGCAGGTCCGAAGGCTGCATAAACCCTTTGGAACAGATATTTCATTTAAAGGGTGTCTCTCCCATGTGTGTCCTCTGGTGAAGGGTAAGCTGAGATGGATAAGGAAATCTCTTCTTGCATACCATATTCATAGGGTGCCCATCCCCAGGCTTCTTTTCCCTCAGGAAGACTGGTTGGTCCCACTGTGCTAGGTGTACCAACAGAATGGGACCCAAGTTGTCCTGAGAATTCTCCTTTGTCCAAAGACGTGGCTTCTTCCTGACGCACTTCTTGGGAAGTGGGACTGTTGGCCTGTTTCCATTTGAAACATCTTAGACTCCTCGGAGAACCTCTTCTGTATCCACTCTTAGTGGAAACTTCTCCCTCAGGACCCTTGAGAATTTCAGGCTCTTGAGATGCTGTTTGATCTTGATCTTACTCAACCTTTCTCTGGGATCTGTCACTATTGACCAATCCTCTTATACTTCCTTTGCCATTATGACACCAGTTTACCTCCTACATCTCTGATGGCTTCCAGAATTCATCCTCAACTCCTCCCTTTCCCTTACCATCCTCCCCACAATCCTGTGAATCTACAAATCCTGAGCAACCACAGGCTTATTCTTAAGCCTTCTCCAGTAGTCAACCTGCTACTGGAGTTGACTTTCTGAAACATATTCCTCCAGCCACCTCTAGGTTTGTGTAATTTAGTACACTGTATCTTTTTTAAAATAAATTTATTTTATTTATTTTTGTTTGCGTTGGGTCTTTGTTGCTGCTGGCGGGCTTTCGGAGAAGGGGGGCTACTCTTCGTTGCAGTGCGCGGGCTTCTCATTGCCGTGGCTTCTCTTGCTGCAGAGCATGGGCTCTAGAGCGCAGCCTCAGTAGTTGTGGCCCATGGGCTTAGCTGCTCCACAGCACGTGAAATCTTCCTGGACCAGAGCTCTAACCCGTGTCCCCTGCATTGGCAGGTGGATTCTTAACCACTGCGCCACCAGGGAAGCCCTACTACATTGTTTCTTAATCATCTAGTTATACACGGCTGTTAACTTCACCAGACTCTTAACTCCTTGAGGGCAGGAACTGATCTTATCCATTAGGACACTGGCTTTGGCAGGGTGGGGAGTAAGGGATGTATTTCCGAGACACTCAACAATGAGGTAGCATTTCCACTGCGTTCCCAAGTGCTCAGGTCTAGCCGGTTCCCCAACCCTAGAGCATATGCAGTAGGAACGGGGATCCTCTTCCCAAAGTTGCAACAAACCCTAGATTCTCATCTCATTTCACCCCGGTCCCGGCCTGCCAGGCTTCCCCTTTGATCCTCCTCAAGCCTTGTCTTGGAAAGGATGCCCTCGAGGGCTCCTGGTAGCTCTCTCCACCGATTTTGCGTAGGCAATTAGTGTTACGTTACCCTGACGAAGAAAGGCACCCTTCATTTTAGGGCTTCTTTCCTTCAATTCAGACTGGGCGGAATCGCAGTGGGGAAAGAGTGAGAACCACTTTAGAATTGAACGGGCCGCGAAGAACGGCCGAGGCTGAAGCACACCAGATGCCGAAGTGCAGCACTGGGTGCAAAGCCCGGGCATCCCCTGACCCGCGCCTCTCACGCTAAGCTCGACCCCCTTTAGGGCGGGACCTCCCACTTCAGCCAATTCTGGGAGCCGAACCCTGGCGGTTTGTACTCTTCCTTTCCAATGAGAAAAAAAGGAAGCCGCTTGGTTCCAATGACCAATCGGAGAAGGCGGCGCCTGGTTGTCAGGCAGGTTTGTAAGAGTTCGGGCCAATTGGAGACACAGACACCCCTCGACCCGGGCGCAGCGCGCAGGCGGTGGCGAAGAGAAGCCGAGCGGGCCGAGCGCGGCCGAGCAAAGCCGGAGCCGGAGCGGGGCCGCAAGAGCCGGAGCGGGTCCGGACGGGCCGAGATGCCCTATAAACTGAAGAAGGAGAAGGTAAGCGTGGCCCTTTTCCCCGCGCCTCCGCCTCGGGGCCTGCGCGGAGCTCTGGGAGGGGCCCGAGCCAGGCCCGGGACAGCCCCAGACTGACCCTCCCGTCCGGCCCCCGCAGGACTCCCGGGGCCGGCCCTCCGCCCCGGCTGCTGGTCGCACCCCCAGCCTGTGCCGCAGCTGAGAAAGCTCCCTCCCTTGTCCGGGGTAGAGTCCCCCGACATGCACCTCCCTCCACCGACCCCCGGCCCAGGGTAACCTCCTCCCTCCAGATCCTGCCCCACTCCCAGGTTACTCCCTTGCCTTTTCTGCCCCCATCCCGCCCCCATTCCTTCCCCATCCCCTCCCCATCCCCCACCCGTTTGCCGTTTGGGACAGCCGCTTATCTGAGATTGCACCTCCCTCCAGAACTAAGCCCCCTCTCCAACCTCGCGCAGCCCCTTCTCTTCCCTCCTCTTCCCACCCGCCTGGGCCTGGGCCTGGGCCTGGGCCTGCCTTCTCCACCGTCCCCTACAGCCCCTTCTCCCTCCTTGCCAGGCTCCTTGACCTAGAACGGCTCTGCTTTCTCTCTCCTCCACCGAATCTGGCCTAGGCCCCTCCCTCTAGTTCTTCCTTCACACACAAACTTGTAAACCAGGACTGAGCCCTTCCTTCTGCCGATGGAACCTCGGAACGTCAGGGTGTCTGAGCGCATTCAGTGCAATCCCTAGTGATACACATGAGGAGACTGAAGCCCCGACAGGGGGACAGGGGAAGGGACTTGGCCAAGGTCACACAGCCTGCTGGAGGCCCAGCTGTAATATCAGGTCTCCTGACTTAAAGGCCTCCTCTGTTCCAAAGCCCCTCTAACAGGCATCAACCCACTCCCAGGTTCATCCTCAACCAGTCACCTTTCCTAATCTGGACAGGCTACTCCCCTTATTCCTAATTGAAGATAACCTTTGCGTTTTTCCATTTTTGTACCAGTGCTGGGTTTCTGCCTTTCCTGGGCCACACTGTCCTCGAATTGGGAATCTGCCCTCAGTATCAGATTAGCTATCCTTCTTACTCCACAGGGCAGCCACCCCTGGACACCCTTGCCTTTGTCTTGTTGTCTTGACACAGACTGTGTCTTGATGCTGCCTTCTTTCGCCTTCCTCTTCTACCTCCGAACTGCCTTCTCCTCTTCTTCATCCCTGTCTTTCCCTACCCTCTGTTTCCTGCTGTTGCTGATGTCTGACTCAGAGGTGTGGTTCCTTTGAGGTACAGACTCACACAGAGGATGCTAGGATACCAGTTCCAGCCTCCCCCAGCTTCTTCTTTCCTGGGGCCAGTCCTTCATGGTGGGCGCTAGCTCTGGCCTGGTGTTCTGCTCACCCACTTTATGACCCCAGAGGTGTCTTGCTTTCATTTGCCCTCTGATTGGCTGGGTTGCTGGGCTGCCATCTCTGACCTTATCAGTTAAACTCCCTATCCTGGGGCTGTTGGAGATTTGCCAGGCAGCTCTGATTCTGGATTGTCCCCATAACCTCTCAGGGCCTGAGATTCTGAGTGTTGAGTTGGTGGTGGTATAGCAGGCACTGAACCTCCTTGGGTGCTGAGCTGGGCAGGTTTGGGTGCCCCACCCAGGCCCTGTGTCTTTGGGGAGCAGGCATGCTGAGGTGGTTTGGGCAGCTTAGCGGTAGGTGATGCACACAAAAGTCAGCCACACCAGGGGCTGAAGGGCTCCTACAGAGAGTGTGGAGAGCAAGGCAATTCAGGGGAAGCTGGTGAGGTCCTCACTGATCTGTAGTTGTTAGACTGATGGAACAGACACTGTCCCATCCACAGAAAGCCTTCATCTACTAGAGGACTGAGAAGAAGAAGAAAAATTCTTAAGACTTGCTAGGACCACAGGTGTTAAGTGTTTGGTTGGGAAAGAGTATGGGAAGGATTGGTTTGCAGGGGGCCAGGCATCTCTGATCCTCTTTAAGGTTTAACTTTCCACTTTTGATTTCTAGTTGCATTTGGCCTCCTTCAGTGGTTGACAAGTCCTGACAATGTCACTGGGGTTTGCCTAAAAGGGCAAAGAGGAGGTGGGGATGGAGGGTCTGTATTGCTCATCCATCACCTCTCCCCTTTCTCCTTCATCTCTGCTGGTCCCATGCCTGGCCTAACCTCATGGCCTCCTCCCTGAAGCCCATCCTGAATCCTTAGTTGGGGGTGAGCTCTCCCTCCTCCTCTGGATTTGCAGAGTACTCGGTAGGTCACTTATGGCCTTTTTGTGTTCCCTTGGACTGGAATTAATTGTAGACAAGTCTTTTCTTCCCCCTTGAGATAATAACTAAGTTCCATTTTGGTTTGGCATCTCCTTGTACACAGTAGGTGCTCAATGGATGAGTGCTGAGTCAAGCCTTGGGGAGATTTTCATCCTTCCTCTTCCCTCATGTTCTGATCTAAGACTTCTCTCTTTTAGGTTCCTGGGTGGTGGCGTGCCTCTGCTCCCTCCCACACTCTTCTTGTTCATAATAATAGTAATAACATTGACTAACATTTCATTTTTCATGTGCCAGACACTGTGCTAAAGGGAATTAGGGGTACTTCCCTGGCGGTCCAGTCGTCCCGTGCTTCCACTGCAGGGGGCACAGGTTCGATCCCTGGTCGGGGAACTAAGATCCCGCATGCTGTGCGGCACAGACAAAAAAGAAAAAAATTTAAAATTTAAAAATTTTTTTAAAAAATAAAGGGAATTAGGTACTTTGATTGTCAGCACTTAATAGGTGAGGAAACAGGCTCAGCGAGGCTAGTTAACTTGCCCATGATTGTATAGCCAGTAAGAGCTGGGCCAGGAACACAGGGCTGGCTCTAAACCACATTGCCGTGCAACACTGGACAGCTGGGCTGGGCTGAAGTGTGTGCATTTCACCTGCTCTGCGGGAGCCAGGGAGCAAGGGTGGTGGCCTGGTTCCCATGCCCACCCCCCAACACCACCCCCCAGGCAGCCGGGATCTTTCTTCTGCACATTGCCTGAGAGATATGTCTGAGTGCTGCAGGGTGGGTGGAGGGGTTCAAAAAGGAACAAGGAGCTCACGATCAAGGAGAGAGGTGAGACGTGGGTGCAGATGGGCCAGCTTTGTCCGAGAGGCCCACGTCTGGGGTGTGTGCAGACGGTCACCTCAGTGTTGCGTCCTGCCTGCCCCCCCCCCCCCATCCTTTTCCTCTCCACCCCACACTCTGCACCACTCGCTGGCCCCTCGGCAAGGGGTGAGTGTGCCCCGCCTGGTCAGTGGGCCCTGGGAGAGTGCCTAGCCACCCAGAGCACAGGGCTCCTTCCCACTGCTATGACTGCCTGGAGCTGCTCCACACCTGGGAACGGCTTCCTGCCTCCCCACCCCCACGAAGCCTTCCCCCTGCTCCAGCCTACGCAGAGCTCTCTTCTCCCTGAAATCCTTTTGCCCCCATGGGTATAATCACTGGATTTAACACTTCTCACTGAAGGGGCTCAGGTGCTATCAAGTGGCAGAATCTCAGAGCTAGAAGTGATTTCCAAGGTCCTCCGATCCGATCTGCATTTAAGGCTCGGGACCCTTTTGCATCATGCCTTGGAGGAGGCACGAATGCACCTCTGCTTGAATGCTCTTGGGTTGGGGAGCTTACAGCCTCACTAGGCAGCTGGTTTCTGTGCAGCTGCTCCAGGAGAAAAGTCTTCCTTCTTTGGAGCCTCAGCCTGTCTTCCTGCCACTTCTGCCCGTGGCTCTTGGGCCTCTGGATCCACATAGAACAAGTTGCATCTTTAGTCCACATGGCAGCCCTTCATTTATTCGTAAAGATCCCTCTTGCTCCCCCACCCGCCATGACTCCTCCCTTCCATTGTTAACTATCCCAGTTCCTGCAGCTGTGGCTCTCAGGACCTGCTTTTGAATCTACTCCCTCTATGGGTTGTATATTCCCCGAAGAAAACCTAGCATTTGTCTTTGTCCCTCCCAAAGTGTGATGCTCTCGACTGAACCAGATCCTCCAGAATGGCCCCATCAGTGCCAAGGACGGGGTGCTTCCACGTCCCCTGGTGCCAGGCACTCTGCACAGGTCTGTTAACTGGATGGCAGGTCACATGAGCTGCCGTGGCAGTCACAGCACATGGATGATTTGTGTTGAGCTTGCAGTCAGACCTAAATCCCCAAGTCTTTTTCACATTTTCCTCATCCTGTCCCTGGGCAGTTGCTTTTTTTTGGCCCAAAGCATAGGAAGAGATGCTGGGCAGGCCAGGGCTCTGAGCCAGCAGCTAGGTTCCCAAGGGAGACTTCAGACTAGTGCTCATTCTTTATAGCAATTCTGGGCCTTATCCCCATCCCTGTCCTTGTGCTTGTCTACCGAGGCGTTCTCGGGACGATTCCTTTACCTGTTAGCATCCCTGGGCCCCACTGATTATGCCAGTAGCAGTTTCTAGTCTGGGTGCTGTTTGTGATATCCTAAAAAGGCTTCCGGGTCTTTCCAGATGGCCTCAAGGGTAGAGTGGTGACTCCCTTCCCTCTAGCATGAGAGCCTCAGGCCCCCTCTGCCCGCTTTAGCCAGAAGAGCCAGTCTGAGCAACTTCTTCCATGCTGCTTCTCCCTTGAGCCTCGTCACCCTGGTTCTTACTTGACCGAGGCCCTAACGCATACAACAGCCTTGTGAGGTGAAGGAACATGGTCATGCTGGATTATTGTGTGTTAGAGTTGTCTTCCTAACCAGATTCTGAACTCGTTGGTGCCTTTGAGGGACTGAATCTCCCTTTGTGTACCCCAACCTGCCACCCCACCGCCCCAGGTTTAAGGTAGGTGCTCAGTGGTGCTGATTGACTGATTGATTCAATTGGACGGAGGAGAATTACAACAGAGACCTGAGGGATGAGGATGAGGCCTCTCCCTTCCTTGGCATCTGTTAACTCTACCTCCCTCTTCTCCCTTCAGGAGCCCCCCAAGCTTGCCAAAGGCGCGGCCAAGCCCAGCAGCTCGAGCAAGGATGGTGGAGGCGAGAGCGCTGAGGAGGTAATGAACGTGGGCATAGCCCTAGTTACAGTGCAGGCGCCAGTTCCACCTGCTTGATGGCCAGTGGGGTGGGGGATCTCAGGGGGCCGGAGATTATTGGGGCAGAAGGGAAGGATACTTTCATAGCCAGGGAGGGGCCTGGACAGCCCATCCAGACTGCCCTCAGGCAGGATTTCCCTTTGGCGGCTATGAACCAAATAAGCCCTCCAGTTTTTCCGATTCCGCAGGGATTCCTACGAAAGTCAATTCTCTGTCTACCAAAGTGTTGAGAATTCCTTTTCTCTTAGGGCAAAAAGCTAGGGGCACTGAGTCCTGGGGAGGAGGGAAAAGTACACGGGTGCAAATGGGTGCTCAGTGGGGTGACTTCAGTGTAGCTCTGGGTGGGGCAGGGGTGGGGCAGGGGTTGGGAGTGGCTGATGTCCTTGAGTCGGGCAGGGCTGGGCCCTGCTCTCTTGGTCCCGATCAGATGGGAGCTGCTGAAGGACAGGCATGAGCAGAGGTCAGCGCAACTTGGCAATCTAGGGCTGTAAAGCAATAAATGGCAAGCAGAGGGCACACAGGGGGGTGGAGGGACTTAAGGAAGTCCAGAGTGTGTCCATGGAAGTTTGGGAGTGTGCTCAGTGAGATGCTTGGATGCTGAACGGTCCTGGGAGCACACTGAGCAAGTGCCTGTGTTACCCGGAAGCTGGTGATCCTTGCTTTCTGTGCTTCCTCCCTCCTGTGCTAAACTGTTCAGAGGGATGGAGGTGAACAGGAAATGGAGCTGTCTAATTCTGAGCAGGTCTTGTGGATTGGGGGCAGGTCATGGAGAGGAGATCGATTAACAAGTGTTTGGTTGGGGTTAACTCTGGATTTGGATTTTTCTGGATACTTCTGGCCCCTGTCACCTCCAAAGAGAGCCAAGCACTTTTCACACCTGCGACCATCATTTTACCCTCACTTGAGTGATGGGAGGAAGAAGGGAAGGTTTTCTCCATCTTACAGACGTGAGAGTTGAGGAACACAGAAGAGAAATTCCTCCTTCCTCTGCACATACACTGGCATCTGAACATGTCTCTAGGCCAGTCCTTGTCACTCAGTGCTGGCACTGTTGGTTCCCGGATGTGTTTCTCTCCACCAGACTGTGAACTCTGAGGGAAGGAGCTTGCTTCTTCCCCACACCTGTGTGCTGACGCCCTTGGTTCACAGGAGATCACCAGGAGATGCTTCTGGAGGGCACACCCTCTGGGCTCAGTCTCCCCTTCAGGAGCCGTGACATGTGTGGGACCCACAGGGAAGGTGGCGGGAGCCGGCAACTGATACTCAAAGCAGCAAGAGACTTGGAAACAGGATTTAAAGGGACAGAAAGGAATAGCTTGGGGGGCCACTCCTGCCTTCTGCCTGACTCCCTCCTGCTCATTCAGTTACTAGACAGATTGGCTGTCATTTCCTGGAAGTAGCCCTCCTTGACCACCTGCCCCCGTCCCCATGCCCAGGACGCGGTCAGGGCCCCTGGTACCCAGCATCACTCCACGGCAGTGCTTAACCACAGCTGTAATGAAACAATTCCGTGGCAATTCATTGTGTGTCAGTTGTCTCCTGTGTTAACACTTAGCTCCTGAGAGGCTCTCGCTCACACTGAAGGGCCTGGCCCACCGGAAGCACCAGCATTTGAATGCATTAGTTAATGGATGAGCAAACAAACCAACTTCAAATTAGACCTGGAAGGAACCCTCTCCTTTCATAGGTAGGAAAACGAAGGCTCAAGCAGCTTAAGAAATAAGCTGAGACCAGCTGCTGTGATTTCTCCACCGCCCTCTGGAAGAGGAGAGTGTCATGTTCACCTTGGACTCTGTTTTATGAAATGCCGCTCAGGGCTCACCTGTCTGAGGCAGCTGCAGGAATTCTCCATGATTTTGCAGAAATGCACCCAGGTGGCCCCAGGCAGTGGGACATGGAATAGTTGGGGGCCAGGCTGTGAGGCCCAGGTCATCAAAAGCTGTTTGTCACAGTCCTTCTCTTGCCCTTTTTCTTTCTTCTTCTTTTTTTTTTTTTGATGTGGACCATTTTTAAAGTCTTTATTGAATTTGTTACAATATTGCTTCTGTTTTATGTTTTGGTTTTTTTTTTGGCTGCGAAGCATGTGGGATCTTAGCTCCCGACCAGGGATCGAACGTGTACCCCCTGCATTGGAAGGCAAAGTCTTAACCCCTGGACCGCCAAGGAAATCCCTCCCTTGCCCTTTTTCTAGTCCAGAATTTTGGGTTCTTACAGCCAAACTTACCCCATGTCAAGCATTTGCCAGTCTTTCCAACTGATCTTAATAATTTATAGCAGCCAACATTTATTTTATTGAGCAGTTACTTGTGTATTAGTTTCCTAGGACAGCCATAAGCAATTACCATGAATTGGGTGGCTTAAAATACCAGAAATTTATTCTCTCATAGCTGTGGAGGTCAGAAGTCTGAAATCACGGTGTCAGCAGGCCATGTTCCTCTGAGGTTCTAGGGAAGAATCTCTTCCACGCCTCTCTCCCAGCTTCAGTGGCTTTCTGCGATCTGCTCCTTGGCTTGTAGAACCATCGTTCCAATCTCTGCCTCCGTCTTCACTCAGCGTTCTCCCCTGTGCCTCTGTCTCTGTGTCCAAATTTCCCTCTTCTTATAAGAACACCAGTCATGTTGGATCTAGGGCCCACCCTAATCCAGTATGACCTCATTTTAACTTGATTACATCTGCAAAGACCCTGTTTCCAAATACGATCACATTCATAGATGTTGGGTTGATGTGAATTTTGGGGGGACACTGTTCAACCCAGTACAGTCTGTCCCAGGCACTGTGCTAAGTGCACATGCATTTAATCTTATAATCTTCTCGTTTAATCTCTACAGCAGTCCCTGAGGTCATCTGTTATCATCAGCCCCATTTTACAGAGGAAACTGAGGCTTAGTGATGTTAAGTAGCTTTTACTCAGCAGTAAAACAGCAGAGCTGGAATTCAGCCCAGGTCTGTGGCCAGTCCTCCCGTGTTCTTAATGACCCAATAGACTGGTTCTAAGATTCTAGAAGAGTCTTAGAATGGAAAGGAGCCTTGAGAGATTAGGTCAGGCTCTGCTACAAGGAAGGGGTCTTTCCTGGCCTGTCTTTGGAAAAAGCATTTCAGTGCTGTGGACTTTTCTATGTGCTGTGCCCTGTCCTGAGTTCTGGGAGCAGGGACAGAGGGAGGAAGAAACGATCCTGGTCTCCCCCACTTCAGCCTGACATCACTGTAGCCAGAGTTGTTACCCTAAAAACATTTTTGGTCCTATCAGTCCTTTACTTAAAAGCCCCTCTTGGCATCTCATTGCTCACAAATTCAAATACGCAGCCTCAGGCCTCCTGGGCTGGCCCTGCCCTGTTCTTCCAGCCCCTCTGGACTTTCCGTCTTCCAACCCGACAAGCCTTTTGTGGCTCAGGGCTCTTACTGGTGTCATCCCATTGGCCTGGACTGCTTTATCTCTCTCTTTTCATTCTTTGCCTAAACCCGTGTTTATCCTTTAAGAGACAAATCAAAAGTCACCTCTTCAGGGAGGGCTTCCCTGATTCTTCAGGCAGAGTTTGTCACTCAGCCCTCTGAGTTCCTGAATCCTTTGCGGCACTCTGGTTTTGCATTGCCCTGTACTAATGGCCGCTTTCGTGTCTGTCTTGCCCACTGGACTGTGAGCTCTTTGAGGGCAAGGGCCATGTCTTATTCACCTTTTAATCTCTAATGTGTAGCATGATGTTTATTGAATAAATGAATTAAGAATGGGTATGGGGGGCTTCCCTGGTGGCGCAGTGGTTGAGAGTCCGCCTGCTGATGCAGGGGACATGGGTTCGTGCCCCGGTCCGGGAAGATCCCACATGCCGCAGAGCGGCTGGGCCCGTGAGCCATGGCCGCTGAGCCAGCGCGTCCGGAGCCTGTGCTCCGCAACGGGAGAGGCCACAACAGTGAGAGGCCCGTGTACTGAAAAAAACAAAACAAACAAACAACAACAAAAAAAGAATGGGTATGGGGTTGGCCAAAGAGTTCGTTTGGGTTTTTTGTAAGCTGTTATGAAAAACCCAAACGAACTCTTTGGGCACCCCAACAGCGCTCTAGGTGTCAATACAGGAGAGAATGCCTCTCTGATTTTCAGGGTTTGAAACTAAAATGATCTTCACTCAGCTAGTTAATTCATTATGCAAAAGCTATAACATTAATCTTTGCGTTTTTCACTGATAATTTTATCTTTCATCTTTCTACTACAGTAACTTCTATAGTGCTTAACTTATATTTCTACGTCCTACTTTATGTTTAAATATATGGGTTTAATGATTACCGGTGTCTGTGTTAGGGTCAGGTTGGAATGGAATTGGTTCAGAGTGGGCAAGTGTAGTTGCAGTCTCCTGAGTGTGAGGGTGGTGTATAAATTCAAAGCCCCACTGGAGGGGCTTCCCTGGTGGCGCAGTGGTTGAGAATCCGCCCGCCAGTGCAGGGGACACGGGTTCGAGCCCTGGTCCGGGGAGATCCCACATGTGGCGAAGCACCTAAGCCCGTGCGCTACAATTACAGAGCTTGCGCTCTAGAGCCCACGAGCCACAACGAAGAGTAGCCCCCACTCACCGCAACTAGAGAAAAGCCTGCGTGCAGCAGCTAAGACCCAATGCAGCCAAAAATAAATAAATAAATTTATATTAAAAAAAAAAAGCCCCACTGGATTGCAGGAGGCCCGAATCTAGGAAGGCTTCTTGGAGTTTGGATCCTGTTGCAAGTTTAGAAGTGGGAGGAGCCGTTGTTCAGGCAGAGGAGACAGCCACTGTGGAGTCTCAGAAGTGGGAGCAGGCAGGTCACCAGCTTGCCTTTGGGCCGTGTCCACCCATGCTGATGGCTGCAGAAGGTTCTCCTGGGAATGCAGCTGCCTGTCATCTCCAGCCGAGGTCAATAAAGGAGAAGTTGGAAGCTAGAGCTTTTAGGAGAAAGGGTTGAACGTGAAGTGAGTTGCTGGCACACACCTATACTCCCTTCTGACAAGTATGTTTCCAGGGCTTTGCTGGCTGACCCAGCTGTCTCTCAGCTGCTCCTTGTATCTGGGGCCTGGGAGCCAATGGTCCTTATAAAACCAGGGTGGCCCAGTGGGCTGGGGGCGGGGCAGACTAAGCCGGCTCAGCTGCTCTCCGGCCACCCCAGCCTTCAATAATGCCATCCTGAAGGGGAAGGGACCTTAGGCATCAACTCATTGGGTGGCTTTTTAAACTATGATTTTCAGCCATGCAATCTCTGTTTCTTAAAACCTTACTTGGGGGCTTCCCTGGTGGCGCAGTGGTTGAGAGTCCGCCTGCCGATGCAGGGGACACGGGTTCGTGCCCCGGTCCGGGAAGATCCCACATGCTGCGGAGCGGCTGGGCCCGTGAGCCATGGCCACTTCGCGTCTGGAGCCTGTGCTCCGCAACGGGAGAGGCCACAACAGTGAGAGGCCTGCGTACCGCAAAAAACAAACACAAAAACGAAAACAAAAACACCTTACTTGGAGAGTGTTTGGACTACTGATCTAGTCCAACCCTCTGCTCGTTAGCAGAGAAAATTGAGGTCTTGCTTTTCCCTTTTTGGGAAGAAGGCCTCCTTTCTCTGGATGTCCCCTCAGTGCGAGGTTCATGGAGATGCAGGGTTTCTGCATCTTATCTGGGAGGATGGAGAGAGACATATTCTTCCCGAGTCTTGTTCCTCAGTTGCCACTGAGCCCCTCAGCCTAGTATCTCTGATGTTTCTCCTTCCCACTCTGCTCCCACCACTGTGCAGGGCTTTGTTCTGAAGGTCCCCGGTCAGGACAGGAGGGACTTATGGAGATGGGCCTGGGCTTGGTGTCCCCCGCCCGCCCCACCATCAATCAAATAACCAGTCATTCGCTGAATGCCTGTTAGGTGCCAGTGCCAGTGCTGAGGAGACCCAGAGGGGCACAAACCAGGGTCCTGGCTTTAAAGGGACTTGCTTTCTAGTGGGGAGATGACACATGAGCAAAGTGATCAAGAGGTGTCACTGGGGATGATCCCAGAGCCAATGGAACAGACAAGCAGTGTCAGAAGGTTGAGGGTGGAGGGTGGACATGCAAGTCCTGGAGTGATCGGAGAAGGCTTTTTGGAAGAAGGTGGGTTTTGAAAGATGCAATGCCTTCTTGGGTTCTCCCATTTGATTTTATTTTTTTTGGCCACGCCACGTGGCTTGCGAGATCTTAGTTCCCCACCCAGGGATTGAACCTGGGCCCACAGCAGTGAAAGCCGGAGCCCTAACCACTGGACTGCCAGGGAATTCCCTGGGTCCCCCCATTTTATTTATTTATTTTATTTATTTTTTATTTTTTTAACATCTTTATTGGGGTATAATTGCTTTACAGTTCCCCCATTTTAAAACAAGAAGGATAATGAACTCTAAGGAACATTTGAGGTGTGCTACTTTCAGGAATTTCCAGGCTGTATTCCTAAAATCCAGGGATGGGAAATAATAATAATAACAACAACAATAGTAGAAGATACTGCTTATAAGACACTTCTGTGTGCCATATGCTGTTCATTTAAATCCTTATTACAACCCTGTGAGGTAGTACTATTGCCATCCCCACTTTACAAATGAGGCACAGAGAAGCTATATGACCTCCTGGAGGTTACTCAGCTAATAAATGGCAGAGCCAGTAGTCAAACCCAGGCAGTCAGGCTCAAGTCTGTGCCCTTGACTGTTAAGCTCCACAGACAAGGACTGGGTTGTTCCTGCGACAGGGAAATGGAGAGAGTCTGATGCACACCAGGCTCTGGCCCCCTGGCCTTTTGCCTCTCTCCTTCATCCTCTACCAAGGTGTGATCCATCCTCCGTATACAGGAAGGGAGACCCCAGACTTCAGGGTGCCTTGCATTGTCTAACCAGAAAAATCACACTGGTTGAGTGTAGTCATGGCAAGGGAGGTGTGTGATGACTGCTCTTGCCCCACTTCTTTGCATTCCCCCTAGTCAAATTGGTGTCTGGGGCTCATTTCAGGAGGAGGAGAGGGCCAGATGGCCAAAGCGGTAATGAGCTACACTGGACCCAAGGCCTGCCCTGGGCTGGATCCAGCACTCCTTTCTTGCCTCTGACCCCCAGATAGGTCACAAGCTTGATGTAATTGTTTCTATAAAAAATTCAAGAGCATACGAAGCATAACATTTGTCTTCCTCCTTGCCCCTTATCCCAGAGAGTTTCATATTCTCCCATTCTTATTTTATGAAGTAAGAGTTTATGGAGGGGGCTGGAGAGGAGGCGGGGATGGCAGGCGTGAGCACAGGAGGCCAGTTTTCCTGTGGTGTGGGCACCCAGCTGGATGTGACCTCACTCCTCTGGTCCTGTTGCAGTCTCTTCTCTGGTTGGGGGGAAGGGCTGTCCTGTGGCTCAGCCTCTCCCCTCTCCCAGCAGGGGGTTACCTGGACAGTACCTGTGAGTGGACAGCCCTGCAAACACCTGTTTGTGTGCTTCTGAAAGTGGGCTTCGTGGGGCTCTGACACCCGTGTCTGGGAGGAAGTAAAGAAGTAACTTTTGGAAATTAGCTGTATTTCTCCCATTATACTGTCTTTTTTTTTTTTTTTTTTTTTTTTTTTTGGCCGTGCTGTGTAGCTTGCAGGATCTTCGTTCCCTGACCAGGGATCGAACCCAGGCCCCGTGCAGTGGAAGCATAGAGTCCTAACCACTGGACTGCCAGGGCATTCCCTATTTCTCCATTATAAAAGCAGTGTCAGCTTGTAAAAAATTTAGGAAAATAGGAAAAAGTCATGTGTCATTACAGGAGATAGTCATGAACACAATGCACTTGTTTTTTCTTTTTCTTAACTGGATTTTGGGTTCTGTGCATGTTTTCATATGGGTGAGCTCATTTTGTATATACAGGTTTGTATTATCCTTATTTTACTTAGCATATAGGAAGCAATTTTCTCTCATTCCATAGTTTTAGTCTTTTTGTTTTGTTTTTAATTTTTATCAGCGTGGTGATAGGTGCATTGTTCAGAAGGTCAGATAATACTCTCAGGCTTGTAATGAGCAGGGCAGCCCCTGTCGCCGGCCCCTCTTCTCCTGTTGTTTCGTGGCAACCACATTCACCTCCTAACTCTTTCCTTGCAGATTGACTTTTATACCTCCAAATAAGATCCTTTTACTGCTTTTTTTCTTTTTTCCCTTAATTTGTGAGCTTTAGATATCTCTTGACTTCCTAATGTGGAAAATTAAGGCCCAAGTGTCTTATACCTCCGTGCAGACTTTTCCCCTCCTCTCAGAATACTTATCACCCGTTTTGGGTAAATTACTCTGACTGTGTAAACATTTTTCACAGCTGAACCACGTATGATTACATTTAGTACATAGTTTTCATAAACATAATTTTAACTCCATGATTTCCATGTATTTATATACTTGCCATTATAAATAAGACCATAAAAAGTGTTTTTGCACAAAGCCCTTTTTTATATTTAGGATTTTGCTTAATCTATATTTCTAGTAGTTAAACTGCTGAGATATGGGCAGGAGTTTCTTTAACTGAAGTCACACGTTCAGTAAATGATAAAATAGAGTCATCTTCGCTGTACTGCTCGATGCATTTTTACATATGTTTATGCTATGAACCACCTCCCAGACTCAGTCAAGATACGGAATGTTTCCATTAGTCAGAAAGGTCCTCGTGCCCCTTCTCAGTCACCACCCGCATCTCCCCAACCCACACCGCTGCCACCCCCTCCCCGGCAGGAGAGCCACTTGTCTGACTTCTGTCACTGTCAGTCCATCAATTAGCTTTGCCTGTTCAGGAACGGGAGTGAGCCTTTTGAAGGCTCTTGATGCACAGGCAGCGGGCATCACTTTGGGAGACATGCCTTCTAGACCGCTCCCTTCCAGGGCCACATCCCACAGTTATGTCTGACCCTGGTCTTGGCTCCTTCGGGGCAGGAGGCAGCTGCTTGCTGCCCAGGCCCATAGAGGCATAAACGGACCCGGGGCTGGGTGGTGGGCCAGGCCTGGGGTGGGAAGCGTAGCTTGGCAAGTGCACTCCAGTGACTCGCTCGTTTGACCAGGCCCAGCCCCAGCCTCAGCCGCAGCCGCCACCGCAGCCGCCACCGCAGCCGCCGTCATCCAACAAGCGTCCCAGCAACAGCACGCCGCCCCCGACACAGCTCAGCAAAATCAAGTACTCAGGGGGGCCCCAGATTGTCAAGAAGGAGCGACGGCAAAGCTCCTCCCGCTTCAACCTCAGCAAGAACCGGGAGCTGCAGAAGCTTCCTGCCCTGAAAGGTACTTGGGAAAGGTCAAGAGGGCTGCGGCATCAGACCTAGGGGACAGTGGGTGTTGGCGGAATAGAGGTTTGGGGGTGTTTGGGGGAGGGTGGGAGCTCTAGAGAATGTGAGGGGGAGTTGCGCTGGGGCTGGGGGTGGGCGTCAGGGGAGCAGGATGGTGGCAGGAAGGGATCGGGGAACGCCCTGCGAGGTGAGCAGGGCATAGCAGTGAAGGACCACAGAGGAGACCTGACCATGGCCCATCCGCCCCTAGACTCACCAACCCAGGAGCGGGAGGAGCTGTTTATCCAGAAGCTACGCCAGTGCTGCGTCCTCTTTGACTTTGTGTCAGACCCACTCAGTGACCTCAAATTCAAGGAGGTGAAGCGGGCGGGGCTCAACGAAATGGTGGAGTACATCACCCACAGCCGCGATGTTGTCACCGAGGCCATTTACCCTGAGGCCGTCACTATGGTAGGCACAGGGAAAGGGGAAAGCGGGCAGGGACGGGGGCCCCGGAAAAGCCCAGACCTGCCCAGAGAGCTCTCACCTGGGCCCTCCCTACCCCTCAGTTTTCAGTGAACCTCTTCCGGACGCTGCCACCTTCCTCAAATCCCACTGGGGCCGAGTTTGACCCCGAGGAAGATGAGCCCACCCTGGAGGCCGCCTGGCCGCATCTCCAGGTACCAGAGCAAAGGGGGCAGGGGCCTGGCTGTGGGCAGTGGGGCACTCTGAGCCCTGCAGCAAGGGGGCTCTCCCAGTCCTTGGGGAATGCCCCTAAGTGATGCTCCTTTCCCCCCGCAGCTCGTGTACGAGTTTTTCTTACGTTTCCTTGAGTCTCCCGATTTCCAGCCAAACATAGCCAAGAAGTACATTGACCAGAAGTTTGTCCTTGCTGTGAGTCCCTGAAGTTCCTGCCTTCCCCTCCCAGTCCATGAACTCTAGCCCCACGTCCCCTGACTCCAGTCCAAGCTGCTCTTTTTGCTTCTGCTGAATGTAGGTACTGTATTGGGTTTCAGCTGTGTCTGGTGCAAATTGACGATGGGGGTTAAACAAACCTACTCTGTCCATAAGAAGCTTCCAGCATAATGGAAGGAAACAAAAAAGCAACACTGTTAGCCCCCGCCCCACCCAATGGGGAATGCAGCACGTATTCCCAGACATCACCTGGGGTAGAGCAGTGCAACAGAATCACTCTTCCCAGAGACTCGTCTCCACGCACCCTCTTCAGAGGGCTTCCTCTGGCCAGGACCCAAGTCACCCCAGCCCTGGCTTTCCCCGGCTCCCGCCTCACTGCCGCCTCTCCTGCTTGCTCCCAGCTCCTGGACCTGTTTGACAGTGAGGACCCTCGAGAGCGGGACTTCCTCAAGACCATCTTGCATCGCATCTATGGCAAGTTTTTGGGGCTCCGGGCTTATATCCGTAGGCAGATCAACCACATCTTCTACAGGTGAGGCCAGGAGCCTGGGCTTAGGAGCAAAGCAAGCCCCTCACTAAGATGGGGTGGGAGAAGGGTGGTAGGCGGGACTCCACAGAATGCTGGAGGGGCATCAGGGGTTATCAAGAGAGTCTTTGTTCTTCCCTCAGGTTCATCTATGAGACGGAGCATCACAATGGGATTGCCGAGCTCCTGGAGATCCTGGGCAGGTGAGAGGTGGGGCGGGGGCACACATGCCTAGCAAAGGTCGGGAAGATTGGTGCATTGAGCTTGGACCTGGCCCTTTGGTCCTGACAACCTTCCCCTAACTCCCAGCATCATCAATGGCTTTGCCTTGCCCCTGAAAGAAGAGCACAAGATGTTCCTCATCCGTGTCCTGCTTCCCCTTCACAAGGTCAAGTCTCTGAGTGTCTACCACCCTCAGGTGAGCTGCCTTCCTCCTGCTGATCCCCGGCCCTGGCTGTAGAGAAAAGAGGGAAGGGGAAGCATTCCAGCCGTGATGGGGCGGCAGAGGGAGCGGGGGGCGGAATTCCTCTCCACGCCTCCCCTTCTGTTCTGTGGTCTGGTTTCTGTCACCGACCTCTCTGTGACCTTCTGAGCCCTGCACCTCACCTCCTTTCTGTCTCAACCTTCTGCAGCTGGCGTACTGTGTAGTACAATTCCTGGAGAAGGAAAGCAGCCTCACTGAGCCGGTAACTCCCCTGCTGCGCCCCAGGGTCCGCCTCTCCCTGTCAGCAGCACTTGCAAGTTGGTAGCTATCGAGCGGTGCTGTAAGCGCTCACGGGCGATGTAACCCGACAGGGGACATGGTTTCCTCTCTAAAGGAGAAGTAAAACCTTTGTGCACCTAGGAAGCATCCAACCCGGAGAAACACGAGCACTTAGCTGAGGCCACCCAAGCTGTGCCCACCGGGGTTGGGGGGAGAGGGCAGGGTGGCTTCCTGGAGACCCAGACAGGTGTTGAGTGAGAATTTTATTCCTGTGTCCTCCTCTTCTCGCAGGTGATCGTGGGCCTTCTCAAGTTCTGGCCCAAGACCCACAGCCCCAAGGAGGTGATGTTCCTGAATGAGCTAGAGGAGATTCTGGATGTCATTGAACCTTCAGAGTTCAGCAAAGTGATGGAACCACTCTTCCGCCAGCTTGCCAAGTGTGTCTCCAGCCCCCATTTCCAGGTGAGACCCAGACCCAGAACATCCCAGCCCCTGCCTCCCAGAAAACTGAGGAGGGTCTTCAGCATAGCGAGCCATGTCCCCACTGAGTCTCGCCTGTCCCCACCAGGTGGCAGAGCGTGCCCTCTATTACTGGAACAACGAGTACATCATGAGCCTGATAAGTGACAATGCTGCCCGAGTCCTTCCCATCATGTTCCCTGCACTCTACAGGAACTCCAAGAGCCACTGGAACAAGTAGGGGAACTGGGGTGGCACTGGGCACTGAGGATCTGGTTTTGGAATGTGGGAGGGTGTGGATGGACTCAAGAGCCAATGGTCTCATCTGGTCCCTCAGCAAGCAGGGCTGGTGCCCACTGCATATTAATAGGGCCTTGAGGGACTGACCGGGGAGAAAAGATACCCACGTGAGAGATCTGTGCTACCCAGCAGCAGAGCAGTGGCCTCTGTCGCATCTCTTCTTGAGGTCAGATATTCTGCAGCTTTGGAGATGTAATTCCACGTTGTGAGAAGCTGATGTGATCCTCTTAGTATGTATTAAATCCCAGCATTGTTAAAAGGCTTTCCTGTTTAAAGCTGTGCGCTGGGAGGCCATTAGTGTGGGCTAGAAGAGTAGGAAGTAGTGGGGAAAAGGGAGCTCTTGGAGCACGGGGTGCAGGAAGGATGGGCAGGCAGACTCATATTTGTAAAGGGCCTGAACTGCCAATCTCAAGTCACGTGATTTGGCCAGAGCGATGAGCTTACACTGTACAGAGGCTGGTGGGATGGGAGTAGTACGAGAAAGCTCTTAGCACAGACACCTTGTGGGAGAGAGCAAATTGAGGTCCCGGCACTGAGGGCAGGCTCTGGCCTCTTATACCTCGTCTTTCTTCCTGGTGGCAGGACAATCCACGGCCTGATCTACAATGCCCTGAAGCTGTTTATGGAGATGAATCAGAAGCTGTTTGATGACTGTACACAACAATACAAGGCAGAGAAGCAGAAGTGAGTCTCTCTCTCCTTGGGGGTGTTCCTCTTCCACACCAGCCCCCTGTGCTTCTCTCTCAAGCCCACCCCAATCCTGTCTTTGTTCCCTCAGGGGCCGGTTCCGAATGAAGGAGAGAGAAGAGATGTGGCAAAGGATTGAGGAGCTGGCTCGCCTTAACCCCCAGGTGAGGTGCTTCTGCCCTTGCCCTGAACTGAGGGGTCCAGCCTGGGTTGGGGGAGGGTTTGTCCGAGGAGGGGCAGGAAGCAAACAGGGTCCCCAGACTTCCCAAGTGGCTCTTGCCACTTGTCTGCCTCCTTTCCTCTCAGTATCCCATGTTCCGAGCGCCTCCACCACTGCCTCCTGTGTACTCGATGGAGACGGAGACCCCCACGGCAGAGGACATCCAGCTTCTGAAGAGAACGGTGGAGACAGAGGCCGTGCAGGTGGGAGGGCGCGGGGACCAGAAAGACAAGACAGCCCGGGGAGGGAGAGGAGACAAGAGCCGCAGAGCCAAGGAATCAGGGCAGGAAACAGTGGGATTTCTCGGGACTTGGTCACCATTCCTCACCTCCTGCACATCCCCACACAGATGCTAAAGGACATCAAGAAGGAGAAAGTGCTGCTTCGGCGGAAGTCAGAGCTGCCTCAGGACGTGTACACCATCAAGGCACTGGAGGCGCACAAGCGGGCGGAAGAGTTTCTAACTGCCAGCCAGGAGGCGCTCTGACCTCCTCACCCTCCCACCACAGGGCCACAGCCCACTCAGCCCTGGGACACTGCCCCAGCCCTCCACCTTCTGCTCCCCACTGGCTGACTTGGGGCAAGGCAGGGCCTCTCTGCTCTAGGGAGGGGGATGAGGCACTTGAAGCGGGGACACCCGCAGAGTGGTCCCTCTTCTCCCCCGAAACGTGTTCATGCCTCCCCGCGGCTAGTACAGACAGGCTGAGCGCGACAATGCTCAGCGCTCAGACAACTTGGGGATGCCTGGCCCCCTCCTGCTCCTTATCCCACAGCTGCCTGCGGCTGCTCTGAGAAATACACACGGGAATAACGTGCTCCTCTCCTCTCCCCTGCAGCCCCGGTTGAACTCCGGGTGTCTCCTCCCTGTCTCCCGCTCCCCTGCAGCCCCGGTTGAACTCCAGGTGTCTCCTCCCTGTCTCCCGCTCCCCTGCAGCCCCGGTTGAACTCCGGGTGTCTCCTCCCTGTCTCCCGCCCCTGCAGCATACAGGGAGCAGCAGGAGATGACTCTCACCGAAGTTATGTCAAACCCCACTGGCCCCTGGAATGAATTAGCTGGAGGGGAGCCGACCCCCAACAGCACAAATAGGCCCCCAGCCCCAGCAGTGTGCAGGCTGATGGGGCTGCATTATTGCCTCTTACCCCTGCCTGATCAAGACAACATAGGAGAGCAAAAGGAGAAAAGCATAGGCTTTGGACAGTAGGTAATGAATATAGGGCCCAGATGGACCAAGAGAAGGGGATGAACAAACACCCTACCCTGTACCCCCTCTTTGGTGAGCAGCAGTCCTGGGATCACTGACATGGAAGGGACCATCCTGGGGCTGACTGCTTTCCTGTGCTGTTGGTCCCCAAAGCTAGGAAGAAGGAAGCAGGGGGGAGTGCCCTAAGCATGGCTCCCCCCAACACCTATTTATTTCCCTGTTTGTGCTGATGCTGGGCAGGCTCTCACTTGTCCCTTTCAGGAAACTTGGAGGGGCGAGGGGCTGGGGGGGGGCCGGACCCGGGTTCCAGGGGCACAGGCAGTGCAGCTTTTGGCTGTGTACATAGGGTGCTTTATTCCCCACAAAGTGATACATGCTAAGGTGGGTTGGGCTTGGACCGTTGTCCCCATATGTACAGAACTGAATAAAGTGGGTCTCTGAGAAGAAGTCTGATTTGCCTTGACGTGGAAGGGAGATGGGGAGGATGGAGATGGACATTACAACCAGGATGTGTTCAGTCCTGTGCTGGTTCTGGCCTGGAATGCAGGGAGATAAGGCATCTCTCAGGGTGATCACTTCCAGGACGGGGCAGCCTGCCGGGCTTGGAGGGCCTTCTGTACCACATCTTCCCACTGGGCATCTGATATCTCCCGAGCCCAGGCAGGAACCCCTGGCGCAGGTAGGCTTACACCAGCCATCGTCCTTTTCACCAGCTCCACGTGTTCTGAAATCACAGGCAGACCAGTTAGGGGGTAGAAACGGTAAGACCAGCTCCTCTCCCCGTTTGTTGAATTAACCCAGAGCTTTTGGGCTAGTGAGGTCACTGAATCTGTCCTGTTATTCCTAGGCAAGCCTGCCCATCCTCCCCCAGCCTAGAAGAATAGCATTTCACCTGGATTCTGAAGTCTGCAAAACCTTAGATTACAAACTTATTTTAGGAACAGGGTGTTCCTGTGACTTCCCTCTACTGGCACTAACCAGTTCCCTTCCTCCATTATTATTCCAGAATAAAAGAATGATCTCCTTTACCTGGGTCCATAGGAATAGAGCTGTGGTTGCTCGATGCTATAGCTCCCTCCTCATCTTCATCCTCGCTTTCTAATGGTGGGTCTGGCAAATGAAGCCCCAGGGCCTGCAGAGCCAGAGACGACAGTTCAGGGCCAGTCCAAGGACTCCAGCTTCACCTGCTCAGGAACAATGCCTCCTCCACCATACCTGGATCCGATCCTGGATATCAGCAACTACATCTTCTCCATCCCCCACTGGTGCCAGCTCCACCTCCTCTTGTTCAGGATCTTGGTTCAGGGGCTGGTAGGAGTAGCCAGCTGGTCCTGCCCCCGTTTCCTCTTGCTCTTCCTCTGGTTCCTCACTGCTCCAATCCCCAGTGCCTTCTGTAGGGCCCTGGTGTGGCCCGAGTTCCTCAGTCTGATTGGGGAAGATACGTTCAGGACCCATGGTGTCTCCCCCTAGAACTACTGCTGCCATCGGGCAGGGGCTGCAAGAACAGGGCGGCAGGAGAATAGTGATCAGATGAAATTAAGTCCACCTTCAGCCTCTCATCCAGCTCTTGTGGTCTCCTACGTCACGAAACATTTAAACGCCCCAAGTTTCCTGCCCCCCTCCCACCATCCAAGCCTCTCCTGGGCCCTTCACCTCTTAAGCCGACTTATCTTCAACGGAGGCCCACCCGCCTTACTCCGCCAGTTCTTAACAGCCCAGCCAGAGGCCATGCCACCTCCCCAAAGACACCCCTTCGAGGACGCCCCTCCCCCCCAGTCCACTTAGGAACTCCGGGTCGCCAAATAAGCTCCCCTAGACAAGGCGTACCCGCCCCCTTCTCTCCTCTCCAAGGGGTTCCCCTCTGTACCGCCTGACGAACGCCCTTCGGGTCCCAGAGGCTTCCTTCAAACGGCCCCAGCTGCGGCGGCCCCAGCCGCCCCACCAATTCTCGGCGCTGGCGTTTCCGCGCGCCTTACCCGCTCAGAGCCCGCTGCCAAACTCTCACCTTCACTTCCGGCGCGGCAGGACGTGCCGGGGTGCCTAGTCCTCCAACCCTGCCGCGCGCTCATGATTGACGCGAGCGAGGACGAAGAGTCCGCCCCTTGCCCCGCCTCCACCGTCTTCTTCCCCGACAACCAAGGACTACATTACCCAGTAAACCCCGCGATTTATTTTTATTTTTTATTTTATTTTTTTATTTTTAAAAATTTTTTTTGCGGTACGCGGGCCACAACAGTGGCTTCTCCCGTTGCGGAGCACAGGTTCCGGACGCGCAGGCTCAGCAGCCATGGCTCACGGGCCCAGGCGCTCCGCGGCATGTGGGATCTTCCCGGACCGGGGCACGAACCCGTGTTCCCCGCATCGGCAGGCGGACTCTCAACCACTGCGCCACCAGGGAAGCCCAACCCCGCGATTTTTGACACGTATCTGCACATGCCCAGAATCTCCTCAGCCTCCTGCCCACTCTTCAGCCCCTGACGTCCCTCCGGAACCCCGTGAACTACAAGTCCCGGTAGGCTTCGGGCACTTAGCTCTGACTGCATGTTCGCAGACAGCTGCCCGCCGGAAGGATAGTGCCTGGTTGTGTTTATCTCGTTGGGGATCGAGTCGTCGGTTGGCGTGCAACGGGTTCTAGGCTGCAGGCAGCGCGAGGACCCGCGGCCCCGCCCCGGCCCGGCCTGGCAGGTAGTCCGGGGTGGGTTGAGGGACAAGGAGAACCATAGGGGCTGGGGATGCCCATGGTTAGCGCTGGAGTCGTGGGGGACGGGCCTCTGAGTGAAGAGGTGGGGGTGGGGAGGGAGCTAGGGGGATGATGGGAAAGGAAAGTGTTAATGGGGAAAGAAGGGCTCCGGGAGGATGGTGAGGAAACCAGTGGGAGAGACCTGGTAGCCGGAGGAGGCACTAAAGGAAATTGGAAAGAAGATCGGGTTATGAGGAGAACAGGGAAGCTGAGGATAATGGAAGAAAAGGGCGGGGGTGTCTGGAGTTGTGCGGGAGGGGAGGTTGGGATGACTGGGAGACGACAGGGATAGCGTCATATACAGGGAGGAATATCTCTGGCGGAAAGGGGTCAATGGATATTAGCTTTTTTCCCCTTAGTGGAAGAGGGAAAATGGAGGGCCGTCGGGGTGGAGCTTGGAGTTGTGGGAGAAGGAAGAAGGAGAAAACGGCAAAGCTCTCAGGAGATCAAGAAGGGCCAGAAACGGGGAATGAAAATTGCAAGAGAAAGCAAGGGGGATAGGTACATGAAGGGAATTGAAGAAACTTGAGAATGCGGCAGTGATGGAGGATGGGAGAGACCCAGGGATAAGAGGAGCCTCTGAGACCCTGGGGGCTTGTTCTTCACGAGCTTGAGTTGTTTTTTTTTTTTGGAGGAGAAGCTAAGGTTTTTTTCTCCACCTTTGGATGGAATTGCTTCTCTCTTGTCCTCTGAATTCTTTGCTTTACCTTGATATAGCTGAAGTGGGGAGTGGAAGCTATGAGGGAAGATGGACTCCGGTTCTTAAGCTCTTCAACCTCCTTCCTATCTGTCCTTACAAGCCCAGATCCAAGAGCTTTTGGATTGAGGACAGGAGTAATGAAGTGAGAGTGGTTTCCTGAGGGGCTATTTCAGGTTTGGCAGAGTGGCTATTTAAAGTATGGGGTTGGGGGTTGAGGGAGGCTGGGCAGGGGCAGGAGGGCTGGCAAAAGCCAGCTGAAACCTGTGTGTCTTTCTTGCGAGGGGCCTCCCTTACTTGAGCTTTTTCTTTGCCTGAGATTCTGCCTGGCTCTTCCTTCTGCCAGGGCTTCTTTTTTTTTTTTTCTCCCTTCTGCCAGGGCTTCTTGAACAGGGAGCAGATGATCTACCCAAACCCAGCAGGTGCCTGCCAGAGCAGGCAGTGCCAGCTGCAGGATTTGCCTGACAGAGCCTTCAGATGTACCCATTATCACTAGGTTAGCGGGTTGTCTTTAAGAGACCATGATCTCTCATGCCTGGATCTTTTTCTTGTCCTGCCCAAGGGCATTTTGCTTTCCTTTCCCTTTCCAGTGCACACCCCCACCCCTGTCCCCTTTCAGAGACCCAAGTGGGAGAAGAGCTGCTGGAAATAGCCCGTTCTCTACCACAATGGCTAGGTTGGGCAAGTGGCAAGAGGAGAAAACCCTACCCCCTCAATCCCCAGCACACACATACCTTTCTGGCTTAAGTTCTTGGCAGCATGCCAGGCACAGCTGTCAAAGGAACCCCTCCTGCCTGTGAGGGGCCCTGGGTGACCCCGATGACAACAGCTCTGCTTGACAAGAGCCCCCTACGAGGGGCTAATCATCCATGAAGGTCCCTGTCCGGGATCAATCCCACCCCATCCTGGATAGAGGAACTGTTCCACTCTAAAAGCCTAAAAGCTTTTCTGCTTGGAGGCACTCATGCCAGCTTTCAGTGGACTGTCTGGGGTTGGCTGGGCTATTAATAGCTCTGAGTATTTTGAGATCCCTCTCCCCACCTCAAAGAGCACAGAGATTCTTAGAGAGGTGGCAGGCAGTAAGCAGAGCAGAGTCAGAAAGACAAGAGAACTCACTGACCTTTGAAGGGGGCTTGGAGCTTGGGCCAAGCCAGTGACAGGGTGCAGCCGCCATGAGTAGGGGACGACCACGTTGAGCCCTTGATCAGCAGTCTGAGCTGGCAGTCAGGTCAGAGTGGCCCCACCCTTTGCTGTTAGAGAACACAGGGCCAGGGCTAGCTTCCTGACCTCAGCAGCTCCCCTGGAGCAGAGCCAGCCACCTGAGCTGTGGAGGGGTGGTGTGGGAGGGCCACCAGGGTGACACTTAGAGGCAAGGCTAGTCCTGGGCAGAGTCACGGTGAACCAGGCAAAGGCTTTGCCTGAGGAGCCCCTGGCCCTAACTTGTGTGCAGGTAGCAGAGGCAGCAGGCCGTGCCGGGGGGGCATGTTGCTGTAACCAGTGGCCCAGGGGATGTTACGGTGGACGGTGCACCTGGAGGGCGGGCCCCGCAGGGTGAACCATGCTGCAGTGGCTGTGGGACACCGGGTGTACTCCTTCGGGGGTTACTGCTCTGGGGAAGACTACGAGACGCTGCGTCAGATTGATGTGCACATTTTCAATGCAGGTAAAGTAACGCAGGGATCATCCCTGGGTGCCCGCATCAGGGAGGGCAGTGGGTGGCCGAGTGAGGTTTGATGGTGGCCCCCACGGCCAGAGGGGGTGGGGGAAACGAACATGTGGTTTGGGAAAATGTGGACGGCCTGAAGAGAGGTTCCCAGGGCTGAGCAGAGCTGTGCCCACAGTGTCCTTGCGTTGGACAAAGCTGCCCCCAGTGAGGCCCGCCACCCGCGGGCAGGCTCCCGTGGTACCCTACATGCGGTATGGACACTCCACCGTCCTCATCGACGACACAGTCTTCCTTTGGGGTGGGCGGAATGACACCGAAGGGGCCTGCAATGTGCTCTATGC